TGTTTGATTAAAACAATTTGTTCGGTAATTTACTCACCGATTACATTCTCTACTTAACCTTGTCCGAATTCTCCACACATCATTTATTGGTCCTCAAAATACGACCTTTATTATATTAGTTTTGATTTTAGATATACACCTGATCTTGAAATTGGATTTGATTATACAGTAAATCGAAATGTTTAAATAAGATTTACTATAATAAAACCCTATAATCAGCCCTTTTTTTTTATTGAATTTCACGTTATACTTGCAAATTAATTGGTTTCACAGAATTTTCTAGGTGGACGTGATCCGCTTGTGATGAGCAGAATAGAGGTGAACAAAATGTGGAATGATGTAATTTTTCTGCTCAAAATTCTCTAATTTAAAAGTATATAAACGAAATTCTATTATACTTATAGTCTGGATTATACCTGTTGTGGCTTTGCCGAAATTTGTTGGCTGATTTACAGAAGTAGAAGTTTGCTCCGGAGTCGTGACATTACCTTGATAGAAGCTATTATCACCCAGACAAGTACCAACTTGTTTAATCTTAAAACCACCATTTGAGAGAATAGGAATTACCTTTGGAACTTGAGCCGCAGCAACTTTATATAAATCATGTTGCAATGAAATGTGGCCAGTATTAGATGGTTCTTTGACCCATTGGGTAAAGTTTGCTTCAATCCAAGATGCTTGGAATGATGCACCTTCATCAGATAACCAATCATTTGTATCTCTATCCCAAATTACGACCTTATAACCAAGTTGTTTGCATATATCACGTATCCTATCATCATAATCACCAAATGGTGGACGCATGTATTTTGGTCTGACACCGATCGCAGCTACTATGGCATCAGCAGTCCATTCTAACTCGGCAATTATTTGTTCAGTAGTTTGAGTAGTGAGACTTCGATGAGACCATGTATGTACACCAATTTGGTGGCCTTTGATAAACGATAATGATAAATAATTTATATTATTAAAAAATTATGAAAAAAAGAATGATGGATAAATTAAACTAAATTTACCAGCTTTAAATGCTCTTTGTAAGATTTCAGGATGTTCATATACCCGAGAACCAACAACAAAGAAGGTAACTTTAATATTTTGAGCATCTAAAAATGTAAGAATGTCGGGCGTATTTTCACTTTGTATAATTAAAAAAAGATTTTAAAATTAGATCGAATGTTATTAAAATTAAACATGTGATTAAATGAATTTTTTTTTATATGTAATTACCTTGGACCATCATCAAGACTAAGCCCCCAATCTAAAAGATTAAAAAATAAATTATATTATTATCTTGGTACGATATTGAATTTTACGCTCTGCACATAAAATTCTCACCGTCTGCATTCGGACACGTAATAACATCAGTATCATTACGAATACAGTTAGTACAACTCCAATAACAGTATTGGTCATCGCCTGAACAATCGGTAGTCGAGGTTCTAACAGGAGCATTTGCAACTTTTGTTAAATCTACTTTTTGTAAGTGTTTGCTTAATATTGTTGGTGGTTTATCGATTGGTGGCCATTCCCCTTGAAGCTGACCTGCTGATAACTGGATTGATAAGCAGATAAATAAAAATGTAATATTGATAATGGATTTCATTCTATATCGATATATTTCCTAAATGATCTT